CAGCATATTCTGTAGATAAAAATAAGTAAAATAGTTTATATAAATGTATATCCTAAAATGCTTAGTTTCGGAGATACAGGGTGTAGAAGTTTCATTTTTATTTCTATCTGGATGAAAATTGGTATCAGGGAGTTTTGTGATACGAGAAATTTGATTTTGATGTCAAAATTACTTCTATTTGTAGGGGGCGCCACCTACATGCGTTTTGACTGTTTTGAAGAGTAATAACTTTTCGACGGTCCCTGTATAAAACTACTGACTAAAATAACTACATTTCCATGACTTTTTACTTAAAAAATGTCTCTTGGTAAAAATCGCTGCGAGCAACCGTTCTCAAGATATTTAAAATGGAAATAGTCAATACACGTCATTATTGACAAAAAATAAGCACACGTTGAGTAGAGTTATTTGACTGAAATAATAAATTTTTATTTTTTTAAATTAATCATAATTTTTTCTGCGAAAAAATGATGATTAAACAGTTTCTGCTGAACTTTTGGCACAAAAAGATTTCATATTTAAGATTTCAGTCTAATAACTATTTAGTCGACATGTTTAATTTGTCAATGATGACAGGTATTGATAATTTCAATTTCAAATATCTCGAGAACCATTACTCGTAGCGATTTTTACCAAGAGACCTTTTTTATGTAAAAAAAGTTGTAAAAATGTATATTTTTTTACTCAGCAGTTAAAGCCATAGATAAATGCAACAAGTTTAGATTGGAAAGCCCGTAAAAATTTTAGGTCGCGAAATTATTTTGGGTCGCGACCGTTATACGCGATCTGGCGCTGTTATAGCGGTCGCATGGCGGTCGCTAAGAACAACGGCAAACAAAAACAGAAATAATTTTCTCTTGTCAAAGTCAGAATCTTCAAAAATCATAATAATCTTTCAAAATCTAAACCGCTCTCATTAAAGAAATTCCGAAAAGTGTTTATAGCGTCCATTTTCAAAGAAATTATTGCTATCTTGTGAGTTTAATTCAAGTTTTATTTACTCCAACCGGTGGTAATTGTGAAAAAGTGGCATTAAAAACTTAAAAAGCTGTGCTGTGAACTGTGAGCTACAAAAACCATCGTTGATCGTGGCATAACGTCGGTTTCCAATGTTTCATAGGTATTTCATACATGCGTCCTTATATAAAATAAAGTTTCTTGTATGCAATACATTGTATTTTATTTATAAAAGTAAACGAAAATAATAATAAATTTGAATAAACAATATTTGGCGATATAATTACGGAAAAAGCCGAACCGCTCCGAAATTTTCAAAAGTTTTGGGTCGCGACCATTGCAAGAATAGCGCCAAATAGTGTTTACATTGTCCTTATGGGCACTTTCCAATCTAAACTTGTTTCATTTATCTATGCTTAAAGCATATGTAGGTGGCGCCCTCTACACGTTGGAGTCATATTGACATGAAAATCAAATTTCTCATGTCCAAAAACTCCCAGACACCAATTTTCATCCCAATATTGACGTTACTTCTTAAATTATTTGAAAAATCGAAATAAAAATGAAATTTCTACACCCTGTATCTCCGAAACTAATCATTTTAGGACATACATTTATACGAACTTTTTTAATTAATTTAATCTGCAGAATATGCTGCCGAAGTTTCCGGAACACCATTCGGACCACCCTGTATATTATATATACGTACATATATTTTAAGGTTTAAAATCCTTATAATAAAAGGAAACATCACGCGCGCATTCAGTAAGTTAAAAATAGATCATGGATAATATATTTTTGAAAACTTTCGACAAGGTATGAAAATGGCATATTCCCGACCCTAGCTATTAACCTTTAATAAGAAACATATTGCCCTTACCCCATTTCAGGCGCTCCCTTTCAAATTCCTGACATAATTTCTTAGACCAAAATATATATATTATATAGGTATCTATGTATAAGTTCACGTATACCAGGTGATGGGTTACATTTTTTGACACCCACTTATATCGTTTATTTGAAAATTATTATTTGAAAATGTGTTTGAAAAATATCACAAAAAACAGTATAATATATAGGATTCACCAAAACACCCCAAAACTCTTTATAGGTACTTAATGTTAAAACTGGAAGCGTGTTTCGCTGAACATGTTTACAAAAAACTACTGCATTTGAAAAGTTATCAATAAACTTCATCAACAAATCTGTTATCCACGATATCATCTTATTTACTTATCAACAGGGCCTATTTTTCATCTGGTCGGGCCCAAGTAAAAATTCGGGCCCCCTTTTCCAATAAAATTCAAAAATTCTTTTGTTAGTTTGGGTTAAAAAAATAAAACGTTGTTTTTAGATTGGGGAATCACCGGTGCCGGTATCTTTGATATAAATTTATAAATCATTTTAAAAAATGCATTAATTATATCAATCTAAAGCTTATTTTATTGAATTCTATTTTCTGTATCAGAGGTAACTGTTGTTTTTTTCTCTGCTGTGTAAATTTACATTTGAAATTATGAATATTTTACAACCTTTAGACCACTGGGCCCAAGGCCCTGGCCTTATGGGCCTTATGGTAAAATATGCCCTGCCTATCAATAGTTATCTAAGTCAAAAGTATAACATTTTTCAGAAATAATATATCTATATAAAATAAAAGTAGCCAACCTACAAATTAAATTCTTAGAGTTTTTTTCCGGATTAGGCTCCAGTTCTAATATCTGTATAGTTCCTTTATAAAATCTTATGTTGTAACCAGCGGAGGATACCTACAGGAATTTATTTTAGGGATGGCCCAAATAAAAAGTAATGTAGAATATGCTTTAGGGGTAATTTTTAACCCAAAAGCCTAATATTTAATACAATTTACAGATTTTAGGGAGGACCCCATTAGACCCCATTAGCCCCCCTCTGTATCCGCCACTGGTTGTAACTAAAAATCTTAAATAATAATACTCTTATAATATTATACATCCATACAGAAACTTAAATTTACCTACATACATATAATGTTATTGTTTAGAAGTTCGCGTTTATTTACGGTTATAAGTTTATAGAAATGCGGGTCTTGGTACAGTTTGGGTTGTTCCGTACCTATAATCAGCATCGAAACTTGCCTGAAGATTAAGAAAATGGTTAGAAATCCAAATCAATCAAAGTATAAGTATTTCTTTCCGCCCAGCCATAATACCATTCTCAATTTATTACTTATTTAAATTGCCACTAGCCCTCCTAGACTCAATCTCTAGATCCGCCACTACTATTTATAGAGTATATCATTCTCCAGTCCATCTACGATGTGCAGATTGGGGAGCGATAGAGACCTGTCCTGCAAACACAATTTAGTTGACAGTCTTTCTCAGAAATGTCCCGCAGTATCTAACCCTATCGATACTGAAAAGGAAGTGTTTCGCACAGGAATGAGATGCTTCCTTACGCTTGTCCTACCTCCCCTGTTTGAAGTTCATCTTGGCTTGACCGCCCGGACCAAGAGGAGACAACTTCACCATGCAAAAACCTAAATTATACGAGGGCGGCGGGTGGTCAAAAGGATGCGTGGCTAAATAGAAGACTAGCCTCTACTGGCCTCAACCTTGAGGAACCAGGACACCCCATTGTATTCTCGTCTCCCTTACATCTACATGCGTGGATCTGTAGCAGTGGACCGACTAGCCCTTGCGGTGAAGCTGGAGGGAAACCTCCTAACCACATTGAAAACATTAACAGTGCAAGTTCCATGGGACCACTAATAAGGAAACTACATGAGAGGCAGAAGGCAGCTGCGCGAGACCATATAGCCTCCACAAATGGCACACAAGTCAGAACGTCCTCTAGTAAGGGTCGGTAGCCTATACCTCTAAACCCAACAGGCTACAGAAGCTATCGTTTACTCTACCCGGCCTGCATGGGCCAACCAAGCATGTAGGCGGGCTATAGACGACCCGCTGAGAGTAGATTTCAGCGAAGCAGGAGTACAGAAATACCTCCGACTGCTCCACGATGGATTTGCTCCAGAAAAAGTAAAAGGGGGAGAGCAAAAGAACCAAGAATCAACCTGGCGCATCTCCACCATAGGACAAGAAAGAGAGAAAGAGCGAGAACCTTACCTACCGGCAAGGAGAGGAAAAGCCAGGATGGAAAGCCAACCAACACCGGGGAGCAAGCATGCAGGGACGTATCACCAGAACTCCAATAATGTAAGGACATCAAGTTTGCAAGCCATCAACTCAAGGGAGGGAGGCCGTGCCTCAGGTCCTCACAATAGGAACTAACCTCAAATCCAAGCAGACAATATAGAGAAAGAGATCTATCTTCTATTTTTTTCCTCGGGACAACACCGGTATCAGGTCTATAAGGAGAGACTGAGATATAGAGAAATGAGTTAGGTGAAAATGGAGACAGATTCTTCAGCCTCCACCTCAGATATTTGTATTTTGAATGAAAAGGAAATATTTGTATTTATTTAAGACACACCCTGTATATTAACAGTAATTATTCTAAATTGGAAGTAAACAACGATATCCGTCAATTCTACTAAGAGTCTTATTGCTTTGGCTTTTTCCTCAAAATTGTAAAAAGGACAAATTTATATCGTATTTTCCTAATTTCATTATGTATAAAAAAGTGTAATAAATAGGTATAAAATAAAGGCAACAATCTGGAAATTTGTTACATTTACTCATATTTGATGAGCACCCACGAGGTTTCATAAAAGTCGGCGTCCCTTTTTCAGATGGTATAGGTAGATACATGAAAAATAAATAAAAAAAATATTGAAAAATTCATACCTCTGTTTTTTTCTGTTGATATAATGTCAATAAAAATTAGAAAAATACCTATATCTATAATATCAGTGAAAGAGATTAAATTAAATAATGTTCACAGAAATTAAAACCATCAATACGAAAAATTTGGTAAATTGTTTAACTATTTTGCAAAGCGGTAATTAGGTACGGTTTAGGCTATATATCTACTATTCTCTAGGTATATGAAGGGAAGCAGATATCTCGATAATCTCTGTATCTATATATTGATTGACTTACCATTATCCATATTTCTTTTATTGATATTGACTGCCTATAATACAAAAACACTTTTCTTATAGATTTTAAACTATACAAAGCACTTTACAGTCAATCAACCGAATGAAATATCACAATCTACTTCCGGAAAACCGTTCCAAAAAAATCTCGTATTATTTCCAAATAGCTTTCGCCTCGCCACACTTATTATCCGCTCCGCACCGTCCAATTTTCCACTATCCCAAGCGAATCGGTGCGTGCTCGTCCAGATAAAATCACCGGAAAACGTTCCAAGTGTCTGTCTCTATCTATTCTCCACCCCTTCCACTCTAAAGCTCACTTTCCTCATCCATAACACCGCCCCTTTTTACCCAGTCACACTTTGAAACCATTTCCAACAACTCGTTTTTTTGTGTATCGGTAAATTTTCGACGTTTTTCACGCTTCTGGCTCACTTGGTCGATCGTTTGAGTGGAACTGGACCGCTAATGAAGGCGAACGATGAAGAATTATCGATGGAAATTGGTCACGCCTAACGTGAGGCAATAAAATGGATGGTGTGAGCCAATGGATGTGCGATGTGGGAGGAGTCTGTATGCGATTGGATGGAGCGCGGTTGAAGGTACATTGTTGATATATTTATGAGTAGAAGAATGTGGCATTGACAGAGGCTGTTAGAACGGTTCTATATGAACGCCAGTGTTGGCAACTGTAGGTATCCATAATGTAATTTTATACACCTACCTATAAAATGTCTTCGATCCTCATCGCTATGGTTAATATGACATCGATTTTTTTCGATCATATACTAAGTACGTTATTTATATTAGGGGAGAACCGGGTAGCGTGGGACACTTAAGCTTTTAATTTTTTTTAAACAAGAGGAGGCGTTATCGATGACAAATTCACGCAGTTATTACGCTTATTACATCTAAAGATTACGAGTTTTAAGATTTTGATTAAAAGAAATACAAATGAAGCGAATTTGGCTGAATTTAAAGCTTTAAAAAATAAGTAAATTATTGAAGTAGGTACATAATTTTGGAGGGTAGCCTCAGACAGATAATTATATGTACCGTATGATCGAATAAAAACGGCGTCAGCGATGGCTATGAAATGAAGATCGCTGTCATTTTATATGTAAAAATATATGGGAAATATCAGCGATCGTCATTTCCCAGCCAACTGGACGCCATTTTTTTCATCATACTCGGTATTTCAAAGAAGCGTTACATAAATTTATTTAAACATGTAAATTACCTACTATTTACATTTACAAAAATCACATGTGTAATATAGGGTGTCACATCATGTCATTTCAATATCTATACGCACTCTTCGTGTGCCTATGTTGGCATTTGTTACGCTGTATTCGATCTTCGTAAAATATCTCATAGCATATTAAGCAAGCGCATTGGTTACCTATTATCCTTACCGTGCCTATTCATAAGATTGTTTCTTGCATATTATTTTTAAAAAAAATCAAAAGCGAGTTTAAGAAACTCTTTTCTAGTAAAAGGTATATTAATCTGTTATCCATGTCTTTGATGTGTTCAACAAGTAGGATATTTTCCTATTTTAAAGGTTGCTTCAAATCTACAAATGCTTTGCTTGTATATCCAAACCATTCTGAATTGCTATAATCATAATCTATGTAAAGTTGTTTTTGGTACATTAAGCTTTTCTGTCGCGTCTCGCTATACGATGTTCTTCCGTTACATATTTTAGTGCTTAAATGAGTTCATTTTCGGACCAGGAACCGCGATTAGTCGTCCTACCTTTGATCGACTTAGGTATCCTGAAAGAGAAATTCCAAATGTGGTAAATAAACGATTTTCCAGGCTACCCGATTTTAATCTGTCCCGGGCCCGGCTGCATATTCGGAATTCGCCGACACATTAGCCGCTCGGGATAGTTCGGGTGCTGCCTAAAGTACCGACGTATTAGACTAATACGTCGGCGATTTACGATGCGCTCAAAATATTGTTTCTTTATTCGCAAGTTTGTAAATCGGATTCATTTGACCTGTGTCTGTAATGGGTATTCTTATTTTTTATGATCAATCAGTAATCGTTTGTAGTTGGTTTTCATTGTTTTCCGGTGATTAGCACATTTCGAGAAGACTGCTAATTCAAAAACATGTAAACTACGTCTAATGAGCATTTAAGAGATTGTATCACTACCATTTTGATGGCAAACAAAAGAAAAATAGGGAAGCGAGCCGCAAAAGAACTTTGCGAAATATGGACTGTCCAGTAAAGTTATTAGTAACTGTCAAACGATTTCTTCCAGACACAAAATTAAAAAAATATCGGATTAGGAGGGAATAAATACAAAAAAAGAAAAAATATGTCTTATTTTTTTCTATTATCCAGGGTAATCCACCAGGGTAATCCATTATTTTTGTCATTAATAATTAATCTAACAGAAAGAATTTTGTTAACAAAATTTTAGTTAGAATTTTATACTAAAAATGACAAATTGAAAACTGCCTTATGAAATTTTTGAAAATCATATTGCTTATTTTAAATGGAATACACCTTATATAGTTTAATTTTAGTATTAAAGATAAATCCTGCTCAAGTCTGTTTTGGATCATTTTCTAACAGTTCTGGATATATAACCTATACTGTAATGGCAATATGCAGTTAACGGTATTTCGTTTTCGTAAATCACCGACGCAAAAGGGTTGGGAGTAGCCTAATACGTCGGTACTTTATCAACCATCCGTCGCTGTACCCGACCTAATCCGAGCGGCTAATGTGTCGGCGAATTCCCAGTGGCGTATCGTATAGGTGGCCAGGGGGAGGGCGAACGCCCCCTCCGCCCCTAGGCGCCGACGAAACAAAAAAAAATAGCAAAACTAAATTTAACGCAAAAACAAACGGTGCCCTACCTGTGGCCCTACCGTGCTCTTAGCTCTTCAAGATAAAAAAATGACGTATATATTTCTCACATTTTATTTTTGTTTTTTAATGTTTACTTATATTTAATAATTTAAATCTCTAATGAAGTAGGCCTATACGTACGAAAGTTTTCATATGGATTTGAAACTACGCTACCGCTGTCTATAAATAAAAATACAATGGCTAGACATAACGTTGCGTCGGCGCCGTCAAAGAAGAAGCAGTCGCGATGCGAATAAATTCGGGGAATCACCGACCGAAATATAATCGATTATAATGAAGTGCTGAATAGAATTAATATTATATTGTCCAATCACTTGCAAAAGATTAATATCGACTTATGTACAGCTGCTCATATGATTACTGAGGTAACTAAAGATCTCAAATCATTGAGAAGTGAAAAATATTTTGAAAATTTTAAAGGACATGCTACTATTTTGGCATCATTTTCCACAAAAAGACAAAGAAGAATAAAAAAAAATCATGATGAAATCCAGAATGATTACCTACATCAAAATTGTGAAGATAATTTCATATCAGTGTTTTATGGTACTTTAGACATTTTAACTGGTACTCTAGAGAATCGGTTTGAAGACTTCCTTAATATATGCCAAAAATTTAATTGTTTATTGGATATGGACGTCAATGATGACAATTTAAAATGTACTAAGTACAGATATTGTACTAAGCGGATGTTAAACCTTCTTTAGTTGAGGAATATAAACATTTTTGCAGTTTATTAGAAGAAATTAATGCTGATGACAACAAACTTGCACCTGAAGAATACTTATCATTTTAATTTCCAATGACCTAGAATCTTCATATCCATCTTTATGTGCATTACTGAGGATTTTTTACACTATAGCCAATAACAGTGCTGGGTGCAGAACGATCTTTCAGTAGATTAGGAAGAATTAATAATTACCAGAGGTGCACCAGCACGCAAGATAGAACCATTATTTATCACTTCTCAGTATTGAAGCAGATACAGCCCAGGATCTAAATATAGACGAAATAATTGAAATCGGTTAAAACAAGACGCTTGCATCTTTGAATAACTGTTTTGTATACTAACTTTTTTAATAAACAAATTTATATTAAAAAAAAATAAAAGTTTTCATATAAGGTACTTTACCCAATTAAGGCCAGTGCTACTATAAGGCCATACGCCCCCAGCGACAGAAAACAAACCTAACGTAAAAATTGTAACTAACAATAATATATACCCATGCGCTCTATAACTTTAGTCTATGGGTGATTTCAAAAAATCGCCAACAGATGGAGTTACAGCACATCGTGGTTTGTAGCCGTTTTCGTTAACGGGATTCTTGTATATGTTGTTTGTGATTTTTTATTGAAATTGTTTTTATAACTTTTCTTTTACATAAGGAGTTACCAAGGTAAGTTAGCTTAATGGTAGTAATTTGGGTTTTTTGTTATTTTCAACTTTAAAGGAGTTACGAGGGTTTGTTGTTTTAAGGTTATGCGTTCCTAATAAAGCCACCTGAGTGGCCTTGTTAGGAACTATGTGGCCTTATTAGGTTCTTACCTATTTTCTTCTCTATTCTCAGAACATGCCACCCACACAAAGAGCAAAATGGTCCGAGCAGCAGTTGAGGAGAGCTCTTGCGAGTATAAATCAGGGAATGCCTGTCCTGACAGCGGCTAAGCGCTATGATATTCCGAGACGAACCCTTCGAAACCATGTCACAACTGGAAGTTTCGTTAAGAAATTGGGGAGATCCTCAATACTAACCGTAGAACAAGAAAATGAGTTGTGTCAACGTATTATAAGGTTAGGCAATATCGGAGTACCTTTGACAAACAAAATCATTCGAAAGTCGGTGTATACATTTGCAAACACTAGAAATATTAGACACTGTTTTAATCGAGAAAAGGAAATGGCTGGCAGAAGATGGATAAAATTATTTTTTGCCAGGCACCCAGAAATCACCGAGCGTAAAGCTCAGCTTCTTAATCCCGCTAGGGCCCAAAAAATGAACAAAACCATTGTAAATGACTATTTTACTAAACTAAAACAGATAATGACTGAAAAAAACTTTATTGACAAGCCGCACTTGATATTTAACATGGATGAAAAGGGTTGCAGATTGACCCTACACCATCAGCAAAAGGTCCTTGCCAGAAAAGGTGAAAGGAGGGTTCACATAATTGCAACGGAGCATGCCGAAAACGTGACTGTGGTCGCTTGTGGCAGCGCAGTTGGTCAAGCCATACCCCCAATGGTCTTATTTAAAGGAAAAAGGTGCAAGGACGAATGGAAAGAAAATATGGCTCCTGGGACTGTTATTGAAATGACACCTAAGGGGAGCATGACCACAAGTGTTTTTTGTAAGTGGCTACAGCACTTCGCTAAATTTAAGCCCGAAGGAGACGTTTTGCTGATAATGGATGGAGCAGCCTCTCACCTGGATATTTCTGTTTTTGAAACCGCAGATGCATTGGGAATAACTCTTTTGTGTCTGCCTAGCAACACCACACACGAGTTACAACCACTTGATAAATGCGTTTTTCGCAGCTTTGAACATTATTGGGACGAAGAAGTATTACTGTATTGGACAACTTTTCCTGATAGAAAAATAACAAGAACTCGGTTTGGTAAGATACTCAGCGAAATTTACCCAAAAGCTATGTCTGTGAAAAATTTACAGTCG